TTTTTTCACCACACACACACACCATGTATATTCATGTAAATATCGATGTAAATTCGTACATAACGATTTTTTGAATTTTTTTTTACAGGTTTTCATCGCCATTGCGATTATCAAAAAAAATAATTGTTTAACGATTATCGTTATGAAATCATATTTTTTTTTTGTTTCACAGAAAAAACTAAGAAAAAAGAATTTTCAACTAAGAACATCTGTCATGAAAAAAAAATTCTTTCAACACGATAACGATAACGACCATAGTGTTATGAATGAATGAATGAAAATTCATTCATTGTTTTATGAAATCTTGAAAATCTGCCATTTTTTTTCCTTTTGGTTGGTTGTAAAGAATCTAATTATTGAATTTTATTATTATTCAATTCTTATTATTGTTTTTTTTAAATAACAAAAAAAATTTAATTTAATTTTAATAAAAAAACAATTTATTTTTTAAAAAAAATCCAAGCAACAAAAAAATGAATTTTGTTGTTGTTGAAAAACATCATTTTCTTATCCAATAGGAATAAGGTGTTAAAGATGGCTTGCTTGATAACAGTGGAACCCTAAACAGAAAAATATGACGGAAATCGATTAATTTTTTGTTTTTTTTTTTATATTAAAATTTTCATTCTTGTTTTTTCGTTGTTGTTGTTTGATTCCTTTGAAAAAAATTCAGGAAACCATCAAATGTCCATCCATTTTTATGCATATTTCACTCTCTCTCTGTGTGTGTTGTGGGAATCATCGAACCAGAAAACCACCCACCCACCCGTACTTACTGACTTGACATCATCATCGTGATTTGAAGTGAATTGATTGTCTTTATTCTTGGTTGTTATAATCAATTTCTATGTTAATCGTGAATCTCCCAAAAATCAAAACTTAACTGAAAACCCAAAAAAAAAATTCTTAAACGAAATTTTGAGAGAAAAAGAATTCAATATCAATTGATTCCTTGTTTAGATTTTCCTTTGCATAACATGACATTAAATTCCAATTGTTTTTAACCATGATTGAAAATGAAAATGAAAATCTATCTTGTTTTCAACCACAACAATCTTATCCATCCATATCACTGTACTGAACGTTTTCTGTGTTTCTGTGTGTGTGTGTGTTAGTAATGTACCTTACACACTTACACACACATCATTTATGAAAATCCGTAAAACTAGAAAACCAGAACAACATTTGACATGCTAATTTATTCCACACACACACACAAAATGTTTATAACTTTGAAGAAAAATTGAGAAAAAAAGTCTAATGGAAGAATTGTTATTACAAATGGCTATAGCCTAGCTAAATAATAATGAAACAATACTTTTATAAATGTTTTTCGAAATTGAATATGAAATGAAAATGTAAATTTGAAATGAAATGATGATGATGAAATAATTGTGGTAATTGAAAGAAAATCCAAATTCAAAATGATTTTTCGCTTCGATCATTGATTGATGTTTGAAATCAATCAACAATCACATTGTGTTCATTGAAAAAACCCATTGGCCATGAATGAATGAATTTTGTTGTTTTTTGTTTTTGATTATTATTAGTAATGAACATTTAATTAAACAAAAAAGAAAATTAATTAAACTAAATTAATTTTCTTTTTTTTCTTGCTTTATCACTCTATTGATTTTCAATCAAAATCATGGTTCCGGTAACAAACAATGACGACATCAACAAACAATCAATATAGATGGTAAAAGTATACATATAAATCGTTTTGAAGTGCCCGAAGCAGTTGAACGTGGCCATTCAGCAACATTATATTGTGATTATCAATTAGAATCACATGAAGAATTATATGCAATAAAATTTTATAAAAATAATATTGAATTTTTTCGTTACGTACNGAACTTTTCCCTGTTTTTCCCGGGAACTTTCCCTTGTTTTTCGTCTAAATTGAATTCTCGGGCCAAAAAAACAAACAAAAATCATCATCATCATCGACAGCACATCATTATGCACAACAATTTGAATGTTTCAAATGGCACGAAAAAAAAAATCCAGAATTGAAAAAAACAAAAAACAAACAAGAAACCGAGACTGAGAAATTAAAATATTAATAATTTATGTTTGAAACAAACAAACAACAGAATCAGGGATGAAAATTACAAAAAACAACAAAACAAATTCTAGTTGTTTTCGATTTTGTCGATAATGTTATTGTGAGAGAATATTCCTTGTTTCACCACCACCACCATAAAAATATCCATAATTTTGAATTTTTCGAAAAAAATTCAAAATTTTCATTTTTTTTTCGGATGATGATTATGTTCAACAAATGTTCCCCCCGATATTCATAGTAGTTTATATATTGAATATAAATTATTAATATGAAAAAATCTATTATCATCATCAAAGAATATTTACACCATTAATATTATTTCGGGAAACATTTTTCTTTCAACGAAGCAAAACTTTAATTTCAATTTCAGAATCCTGAAGAAAAAAAATCTGAATCCGAAAATTTTTACATAAATTTTTTTTCTCCCATTATGAACGAAATGAATGATGCTGATTTGGTTTAGGTGTTTTTGTTTGTTTTTTTGGTTCATAGATTTTTCATTGTTTGCTGCAAAATAAATATGAATTTTCTCTTGTGATTTCAGAATGGAAATTCTGTGGATTCTGATTCTGGTGATGATGAATATTATCATTATAATTATCATAATCATCATTCATTTATTCATTCATTCATTCTTTCCATAAGCTTTGTGTGAATATTTCAATTAAGCGATAAAAAAAAACATGTCCTGTCCTGTCATCATCGCCTTTGATGCCGGATATGCAATCCGCACAAATTTCTTTCATTTTCGGTTTTTTTACCCGGTTACAAATCAACATTCGGTTTGTCAGGTTGTTGACAAGCCGGAGAGAAAAACTTTTTTTTTTTTTTTTGTTTTGTGGTTATTTTTTCATTGGATAATCTCTATATCGACTGTGACTATCTTTTTATCGTTTGTTTTTTCTCTGTTTTTCCAAATTAAAATTCACCATTTTTAATTCAATTCAAACCGAAAAAAAATCACACACAAAACATTTTGACGTTTGAAAATCAACCGAAAAATTTTGTTGTTTGATGGGCAAAAATGGTCATTGTTTTTGTTCGTTTCCCCTCATTAGCTGGACATTTATTAACCCCAAAACAAAACAACGATAAATTTTCGACTGAAAAAAAAGTCAAAACATTATTTTTGTGTTTTTCCATAGTTTTGTTTCATACCAAAATTTTCAGATTTCGATTTTCTTGATTCAGAATTCATCGTTGCCAACAACGATTATTGTTTGTTTGTTTGTTTGTCGTTTTTTCGGGTTTTCGGGCTTTCAGTTTTTTCTTCTGCTGTCAACTTTTATCCATTAATTATATTCATCATCACAATCAAATATAGAATATGTTAATGATGATGATTTGCAAAAAAAAAAGATTTCTATTTTCACCTAATATTCACACAATGACAGAAAAAATAAACCGAAAACGACGACGAATAATTAATTAATTTGCATTTTTTTAAACCAAAAAAAAAACAACAAACAACAAAGATTCATTCGATTTTATTCATATTTCGAACGTTTTTCGTTTGTTTTGGTTTTCAATTCGAATGTTTTTCTTTCTTCCTTTCTATTTCGACCTTACCTGTTTTGTAAAAGTGAAAATAGATGATTGTGAACAAAAA